GGGAGATTGAATAGTTTTTTTCTGTAAAAAATTTGACCATCAAAATACAGTAATAAGTAATTGAGGCTGTAGTTAGTTATGCGCCAAACCGATACTCTACCTTTAAATTTGCCAAACTTCCTTCCTTGCCTTTAAACTCAGACAGTGGGAGCGGACAAGCCGCGGCCCCAAAATGCCTTTCCGGCCCGCCCGCGGCCTTAATTTGGGGCGTGGCCGAGGTGCGGCCGACCCGCGGCCCTCCGTTCATGTCATTATCATTGCACCGGCCGAGCCACGGGAGGGGCTCACCGGCTCAGCCGCGGCCCTTAACGATGGGGCGGAGCATGACAGCGACTAAGCCGCGGACCAAATTCTGTGTAAGGGTCTCCGGTCGAGCCGCGGTCTCTGTCAAATGAAGGCCGCGGCTCAGCCGATCTTAGTGTCCGAGCGTACAGGATACTCGCGTGATGTACGACGCATGGTCAGGTTGCACTCGATGTCCATAGCCTCGGATGTCTTTTCAATCTCTCAGTCAAGAACAAGATCCACATGTTGTCTTACGGATAACCTTTGATAAAAGTTTGGTGTTATCCAATATTGAACGGGCTTGGCTCCCGAAACTGCTATATCGGTGGCCTTGATTTTTGCTTGTTCAATGTATATTTCCCTATGTGCCATGGTGGGTCAAGGCCTAAATCTGCCGAGCTAGAATGAACTACAAACGGCCCGACAACCAGCTGCGGCTGAGCAGAGGTCCACCTGCAGCCGAGCCGAGGCTCCTCTCCGGCCGGGAAGCGGGAGCTGCGAAATTCCAGCCGAACAAAGGCCGCGGCACGTCCGCTGACAGTGTCTGAGAATCCTACTTATGGAACGTCTCCTCCTTCTTGAAATAGTTATTAAGGGTGAATTGGTGCTTTTCAATTTTGTATTCTTTCCTATATTTTTACAGCACTAAAGTTTGCTCAAATAGAAGTATAGACGAGTATAAAAAATCAGAAAACTTTACAAGCTACACGATTAGAAATGACATGAACTCTTATCGTAGTAGTTCTCAAATATCTGAAAAAAGTGATTTTTGATTCTTGGTATTTTGCGTTCTCTTCACGCACAACAAATGATGCTAATTTTTGTTTTGTTTATTTATCCATAGCGTCTGTATAACGCCCAACGACTGATAACGTGACAGAGGCGCGAAGTTGGAATATCTGAACGAGTATCCTGTCACTTACCTCGAATTTCCCGGGAAATTCGCGACTTCACTAGCTGAAATACACAACCGGCAGGACACAGCCAGTTCTGGATCATGAATTTTCTGATGTTTCTTCAAAATGCTTTCAATAAAGTCAGATCACAGAAAACCTGGGGAAGTACCTTACTCAGCTCCTTAACATCACTAAGTCTTGAAATGCTAATTTAAACAGATTTTCTTTCCATTTTGTCTTCTCCCCCGATATTATTGAAACCCAGAAAAAAATTTTGTAACTAAAATTTTTTTGAATTTCGAGTTATTTCAGCTTCTGGCTATTTTAAGGAAATGAATTCTGTCAAGATTACTCTTTAGAAAAATCTACTCTGTGTGCAAATTTATTCATTTGCTTTTTATCAGCAAACTATAGAATTTTTGCCGTTTGAAATGATATAGATGTCGATAATATCACGCTGTCCAAAGGGCTGATATCGCACCTCAGCGCGACGAGGTACGAGGAAACCTCTCGGCCGTAGATGCAATAGGTGGAGAAATTTCTCTAACCCCCTTCACTTTGAGGCCGGCATCTGGCTGACCCCTTTCACCTGAGGTTGAGACTAGAATCAATGCATAACGGCAGAATCAAACAGCTGCTACAACGTTTTCTGTTTGGAATGGGAACGCCAGCTGCTCTTCTCTTTACACATCAAGACTGAAAGAGAGTATCGAAGCAACAGCGTTTTGCTGAAAAGATGCATGCTTGAGACCTTCTGCGCACTCAAAGTGGCAATGATAACGAAACATAACAAAAACTAAAAGCATGTCTGATTCTTTGAATAATTTACATTGTATCGATGAATACGCATTGTCGCAAAAAACAATTGAGCAAGAGTAGAAAATCTGGACTAGCTAGTGATGGATGCATGTTTACTGACATTAATCGTACCATATCTCCCTTCACTAGAGAGAATAATATCAAATAAAAGAGCTGTTAGATTACTCGTTTCTCAAGCTTTTATATCATAAAAGTTCCAAAAAGACCTTCTTGGTTCGAAAAAAAATTACCCAAAATTGGCTGATATTGTAGCTAGATAAAACTGCTCGTATCTCGCTTCACAGAAAGCTAGGAATAAAGAGAGAGCCTATGTCGATCGCTCGTGTTCTTAGCTATGCTATACAAAGTGTTGGTGCGTGAAGCTTTCCTAGTCCAAAAAAGTCTTGCTCCGGCGACCCATAGAAAGCGGAGCGGGGTGGAGCAAGTTAATATTGAATATCTCCACCTCGTTTTTGAAAAGCCACAAATTTTTTCACCCAACAAACTATAGACCATTAAAAAGCCCACGAAAAAGGAATTCGACATAGACCGTCTCTTTTTCTCTAGCTCTCCTCTACTCAGAGGTACATGGCATTTTAGCTAAAACCGTGTGTTTCTGTGAAGAAATTTTATGCAAAGATTGATTGAAAATGCCCAGTTGTCTAACCTTGTTACGCAAGACTTTGCCAGTAAACGTAGACCGTCTTTTTTTACTAGCTTTCCTCTTTCTTTCAGAAATGGAGCGACAAGTGATTGCATAAAATCAGCTGATGCTGAAACTAGATTTAATTTCTTTTATCTGAATTCACAGGAGAGCTAGAAAAAAAGAGACGTCTACGTCGATTCTGTAGGCTCCAAGCTTTCGAATGGTATGTCGACCGATAAAACAAAAGCTTTTCTGAGACGAAAAAGTCTTTGTTGGATGACCTCAAAGCCTAAATATTGAGGAAATCATATTACACCACTGTACCACTTATTTTGCTTCTTTTCACTCCCGCTCCCGCTAGATATGTCAACTTGCATTCACCTCAAGGCCCTTTACCCCCTTTACTCTTCTAGGTCAGAAATAGCCGAAACCCCCCTTCACCTGGAGGGGACCCTGCCCCTCCCACCGCATCTATGTTCTCGGCAGGCGATTCAGACGACTAGAGTGATTATTCTACCATAGCAGAGGGGCTGACGCCAGCTTTGGCGGCTTGCACGGCTCCCCAACTATTAACGCTACCAAATCCATGTCTCAAGATTTCATGCCAAATAGTTTTATAATAAGCGAGAGTAGAGAAATATCGTCATAACAGTCACTGTACAATTTTAAAATTTTTTATATTCATAATTCTGTTAAACTAGAGAAAATATCTTCAAAGTCTACTGGAAGAATGTGCTGTTTCTAAACATACGGCATCCCTCAGTTTCTGCCAGTAGATCAGCACGCTAATATGTCGAAAATTAATCCACACAGAGAGTGACAGTTGCTTAATGCGCAAAAAACATTTGCGAAGAGTAATGCTTACCAAATGTTTTTAGTCCAAATTTTGGGCTATTTGAAACAAATTACAGTTTAATTGAAACGAGAGTGAAGAAGCTGGTCTGCATGACTCCAAAATTCCAGGCATACAATCATGACTGATCAAGTTATCAAGGGATAAGAATCTGAGTCGTAGTAAGCAACCGCGAAGGGTTCCTTCATACTACGCCGCGTACGCCACGTACGCCGCGCACGCCGCGTACGCCACGTACGCCGCGCACGCCGCGCACGCCGCGTACGCCGCTGCAGCGCAATGGAAATATGCTCACGGCAGCAAAGCCCCACTTTTTTTTATGTATCTCTATATTTGCTGCACAGTCCCTCAATAGTGTTCCTTCACATTATGCATTTCTTCTTCTTTTTGCCTTGTTTATCCTGACTATCCTTTGTCTATATCAATGATTGATGGAATGACTTAGGTTGTTGTGCTCCCTCTACTTTTGAGTTTCAAATTTTGTATCGTAACTGACTACACATTGCGTCATCTGGTTGTATATTGGTATTATATGGTTGTATGGTTGTATGTTGTATCTGATTGTATATTTGCGCTGTTAACATCTCCTTACAAACACATCACTGGATGAAAAGGATTTCTCTTCTTCATATTTCCATATTTCCATTGCGCTGCAGCGGCGTACGCGGCGTACGCGTCGTAGTATGAAGGAACCCGAAAAATTCATATCTTTGTTCAAAATAATTCTCCGCATCACCAACTTGCTCACACCGATTGCACACTACGTCAGCACTCATAGTACCGATCCTGTATTTTCCTCATTTAGAAGTCGAGAAAACGAGAATCTTCATGTTCATGAAAAAACTAAGCTATGCTACATATACTGCTTCTACTCATGTAATTGTATACTACAAGCCCTTAGGAGTATAAGAGTAGTCTTTCAGTTTTCCATAGGCCCCAGTTTTCAAAAACTACCGAATTTAGCTCTCCTCACTTGAGTGTTATGCTAAAACTAATATTTCTCGAATGTTTAATGCTGAAAATTTACGGTTATACTTTTAAGAAATTGTGCTGTACAACTGAGTGAAAACAGCAGAGCTTCGTTTTGTATAAAACACAGCAATTTTCTTTTTCTTGATTCCTATATGAAGCAAAAATATGAGAATGGTACATGTGAGTGTCTGATGTAGTGTGTGATTTTTATGAGCAAGTTTGAGATGCGGAGGATTTTTTTAAACTTTGAATTTTTTTGAAAGATATGAATTTTTCGCGATTTTTCAAGCCTTAGTGCGACTCGATTCTGGAGGCATAATCACACTGAGTCGAAGCTTGTGCGAGCTTTTGCAAAACATCTTGTAGAGCTTGCTTTGCTTTATCAAACGGTGCCCTGGACCCCTATTGAAAATGTGAAGTGTACGACTTATCACCAGAAGAAGTTAGATTTCAAGACTTATGTTCAACCTGATATTTAATCAAATAAGATAAACGGTTCGACATTTTTCTGAGGAAATCAGAGACAAAGATATTAACTAAAAAACGCTTTGTCAATCTTTAATGGTACTACATGAGAGCAAGTTGGTTTTGGAACTTTTTCAACTGTCTACTCTTCTCTTGCTTTGTGAACACCACCTTCTAGTAATCTCGGGTTCTCCTAAACAATATTTACTCGTGAGTTATAATCAAAAAGTGGCAGCAAGTTATTACTTTTACGATTTTACTCCTTCCTGTCTGTTTGTAATCAATGCAGCAATTATGAGCTGCCGGTCGACGATGTTTCTTACAAAACATCCCATTGCATAGACAACGTATATGTTGCTCTGTCAGTCCGAGCTTGCGATGACAAAACTGTAAATGATATTTATCATTCAATGTCGCTGGGTCTCGAGAAATTACCTGGCAGGCCGTTTTGGATGATTCTCTGCGAGCTTCTTTGATTTTCATTAGTTCTTCCATACTTGACGGAGGCAGTGACATTGGTGATTGAATCAACATCAACTCTTCGACGGATTCTGGTGGCTCGAAAAAGTTCTGTGAAATAATCCATTGAGAAAAGTTTTCTTAAAAAAACAGCATTTTTGAGGTAATCACTGATAATTTTGAATTTAATCAGTACACCATTTGGAAAACTACAGAAGGCATACCTTTATACGCTTATCTGTCAAATAATTATCTGGCTCATAGATTTTTACTGGCGATCTAGAACGGACATTTGGAGAGTTTGCGGCAGAAGATGGCGCGGAACTGAAAATGGCAAACTATAGTAAATTCATAAGTTCTGCTCCTGCTTTTATTCACCTCGAATTATCAGGTGAAGACAAATCTGTGTCTGACAAAAGACGAGTCTTTTTTTGTCGAAGTTTGCGAAGGAGTCTCTATAAAATTTCACGATCATTTTCATAATCACGATCACGATCACCTAGCTGTGACCAAACCCACTCTCATCTTATTTCTCGTGAGTTCATGTTCCATCTGCTTCGCTGGGGACCATTCTGTATTATGGTCATACTTGGGCAATTCAAACTTGCGTGAATACATCATTGGTCTACTACAGTTGTACACTTTCTTTCTTGCTAGTCACAGCTCTCAAAAAAAGTGAACCAACCCTCGAAGTGTTGTCATTGTTTTGATTGTATTTCGCAATGTCGGCATAGGACTTTGATGCATCACCATCGGTAGAAACAACATGTTCATGTTCATACCATTATCTCTGAACAATCAAATCTCAAGTTTGCTGCGCAGCCAGATAGGCTCACCTCGAGATTTTCGAGCCGGTGCTCATTTTTACGTTCATCGTTAAACTACAGTCTTTATTTATTCCATAACTGCGGATTGGCGCATTATCGTTCCTGCAGTATACTTCTATGCTGAAGATTGAAACGGAAAGTCACGGATTAAAACTGATTTGGAAGATTGGTAGATCTGCGCGTCTGATCAGTTCTCTTTTAGATGAGGCTTCAATTTGCCATTAGAGATCACGGTATCAAATTTATCAAAAAAAAAACTTTGGATTTGAGCGTTCGTAAGTTCGCTTTCAAAAGAAATGTTTATCTACTGGACGTTAAGAAGACGGTCTGGCATAGCCCGTAAATCACTAAGCCATCCTTACCAAAAATGCAGCGATGTCAGTTATGATACCCCTACAGTAGTTTCAGTGGAATCGTCAGTAGCTGCTATTTTTGATCGAGCTGACAGGAAAACGTCTAGCGAATCCATCATTTGTAGGTACAACCTAACGAATTTTAACCAGATCTCACGATGGAAATCCGCGTTCCCCTGCAGACTTTCCCTGTGGCAAAACAATAAAACCCCATCTGTCCTTGCTTTAATCAGTGAAAATTTGTTTTCTTTATACAACTCAAATTACAACTCATACACGACACAATTCGGATAGAAAACATAGAGGCTCTACCGGAGATTACGGAAACTCTCGTTGCATCGCAGTATCTACGGGCTCCGGCAGGGTCTCCGGTGTTTTTTTTTGGCAGAATATGTGCTGTACTGTATCACTCTTCAAGGTGGGTAAATTTTGAATCAAATGTGACTAAACTCGGCTCGACGCCGCACATCTGAATTCCCTCGATTACGGTAGGCATACGGTGTGTGTCGGTTTTCGGCAGAGTAAGGCATATGCGTGTTCTAATCAGCACGCTGAGTAATTTTTTACTTACCCTCGAAAATCTGCAAATGTTAACAATTCTACTTATCTATCGTATCCAGGCATGCATTCTTTACATCAAGATGCGCTGCGTCAAGGTCATTAAATGGTGCCCTTTAACTCGGATTTCTTTACCTTAAACTGAGTAGCGATGCGACACCAATTTTGACAGTTCAAAGTCCGCGGTTTCCACAAAATATGTGAGGTATTGTACATGTCACAAGTCATTATTCTCATCTATCTCTGCCTTCTTCAAAAAAAAAGAAACTTTGACTCACTTGAGTTCGACATTGTTATACAATAGAATCTGTTTGTCTACCGAAATATCTGTTGCGTCAGAAACAATACTTTTCAATTCGGAGACTCGACATAATGCTGGGACAAGTATTCTTGCCTGAAAGATTTGTGGTATCCACAAGGTCTCGTTTTTCAATCCTCTTTCACTAGCTTTTTTCGTCTAGTTTACCTAGAAACAGTTCTTGTGCTAGACATCGTAGGTTTTTGAATTGATTTACAAGATTTAGTAAACAAAGTAGTTGGATTACCGCCGTTACGCCTTCCATCACACTGTGAATTGTTATTTCAAGTAGATCGCTAGGTGGTTCTATAGTTATTCTTGGTGAAAAATCTTTCGGAGAACGACTTGAGTGCCCTGAAGCAGTATTCCGAGACATTCTCGTCATCAAAACATTTGCAAGCTAAATCACCTGATTGGGTACGCTCACTACATGTATCTGAAATACAAATTCTGTGAGATGCTTTGAGATCTATGAGTAGGGCATGGTACTTTGACGATCTCGATCTGAATTCGATTTGGAACCACTCATCTTACCAAAAGCGTAGAAATGAAGCTCACTAGCTAATGTATTTATTATTGCAGAGAGGAGAGAAAAACAAAAATATTTGTTGTAAGCGGCATTGTATGAAATGAATGACCAATTCAGAAACCCAAGAGATGTCATGGTCTTGGCTATACCTCACGCGATTTCGGTAGCGACGCAATTTGGCAAGACTCTAATTGTACAGGGTGCGGCAAAAGTCTGGGAGCCTAACTTTGCAGTATTGCAATACGAAGGTACTGGTGGTTTTGATTTCAGTTTTATGCCACATGATGCTGCGGTCATCCTCTACAACACTATATTTGGCTGGAAATGGCTGCCATATGTTTTTGTAAGAATGCAAATACCAAACTAGTACTTTTGCAAAGCGAAAAAATCAGAATTTGTAGTATTTACAGTTTTTGCTATAGCTAGAGATGCTGTTAACATTTCATAAAACTTCGATGCACACAACATAGAAGAGGCTTTGCGCTATTGTATCCTAGTTTTGCTTTTGCCAGGAGCTGTTCTTGCATAAACTGAAAATAAAAGTTTGCGAATGTTACCTACGCGCCGGTGGAAATCCGTCTTCAGAACAAATTTAAAAGCTATAGAATGCTCAACAGGCACTGAGACCAAGGCTGTATTTTTTGCATACGTCTTTCAAATTAGAATCTATTGAATTTCTGCCATGTGAACACTTTTATACTTTTTAAACGATAATTTTAAGTTTTTATTCGCGCGATTGGAGCCAAAAGTCCGGTATGCGACGTACACATGCTTCTAATTGAAAATCCAATATTTTTATTCCTAAGCAATGCAAAAAGTTCCTTTGGAAGTATGTTGTAGATAAAAGCTTGCTGTATCTGCTGCACTGCACATTTGTCAAGGTAAAAGAAGCAGTTATTGTGAAGGCGTGGGGCGAATTCCATTACGACTACCTGCGTGCCATGACAGGTGAACTTGCCAAGATTTGTAGGGCTGCGGAAGCCAAAAGAGGCAGTTTTGCAAATCAAGAACTGGGCTGTATCTGCAATGGTTCGAATTATGTGTGCGCCAAATTTTTCGTTTCTAGGTACTTCCCTTCTCGTTTTGTACAGAAAAGTACTAGGCTCCCAGACTTTCGCCGCACTCTTTAAATCATCATCATTACTGTGTAATCATCATTACATCAAGTACTGTGCGCTGCATATGCGCATTATCGGAGAGAGCGAAGAAACTGAAGAGGGAGTAGGCAAGCAGGCGTAGGCGTGACGCAAACCCCAGCAACGCGGATTCCCGCCTTGCCAGTTTTGGCCTGATTGGAATTGGGACAGACTGTACGTAACTCATCGTGCGCGCATTCTAAAATATGCAAAGGGTAGAGCATTTTATCAATCTATGAAGGTTGTGCAAAGTATGCATTTCCGGCCTGCCAGTATTGATTTGGTGGCATCTGGTAAATTGCCAGACCGCGTGGCTACTGAAATCGCGTGGATATGGCCAATGTCTAACGATTACTCATGAATCATCCGCAGATGCCGCCAACTTCCTGCAGTCTTGCTGTACGCATGCTATAACCTTGTAGACAGTATCCTCGTAAATTAGGGTATTCGGACATCTATTGTAAGTCTAAAACCATTCGAAAGCATAGACTACTTCCAGCTGAGTTGAACTTGAAAATGAAGTCGTCTTAAACGGATTGCTTTTTTTTGCGAAAACGTATATTCTGGTTTACACTTTATGGGATTGGTCTTCTTGCCAGCTAAACTTTGGTGACAAAAGATATGAGTTATGGATTGGTATTCAGAAACACAGTCTCAACATCTATAAGATCGCAAATCTTCATCCCATGATGCCAACAAAGTATGTCACAGCTAAAAAACGTGTTTTCTTTGAATTCCTGAACACGTAGCTGTCAGATGATAGCATCGCTTGCAGGTTTTTCGACAACGAGAACGGCTATCGCTCTTTGCTAATGCGTTCCACCGCTATGGCCATGAATAAGCACCGGATGCAATCAAATCTTTTGGTGACTGGTGACCAAAACGGTGTTGTAACCGACGAGTTGTGTCAGATCAGACCGAGAAAGTAAATATTAATTCCTTGAATGATGCCACTGAGCCCTGAACTGGGTTGTATTGGAAGATCTACACGAATTTCTAAAGTTCTCAACTCGTAGCTCTTTCAACGAGTGAATCCTACAAGCTTAGTAAACTATATTACAATCTTCACATTCTTCGTAGTACTAAACGTACTCAATTTTTGCACGAGGAGAACGATTTTTGGTAATTTCCGTTATCCGGACCCATTGTATCAAAGAAGGATATTGCTTCCTTCATATTGCTTCCTTTCTTGTACCGCATTTGGCCCCAACAGGACGGATTGTCAACCTTGTGCCACGCGTCAAAAAAATTTGACATGTCATCCACATATTTAACAGGTTTTACGAAGAATTTGCATTGCCCTACTTGGCGACGTTTCAATCTGTTTTTTAGTCAATGATAGCCTATTTTTGATCAAACATTTTCAAAAATCAACGCTGTTATAATAATGACGTCATTCTGTTATGAATGAATAGATTAGACCTGCTCTGAATAGAGAAGTGGGCTAGGTTCGATCATCCAAGCGGCGAAACAAGCAGCAGCGAGATACTTCGAGCCATCATTCATAGTCTTTCCGGGCTAAATTCGCGTGGCGAAAAATTTGAAGAGAAAAGCATTTTTGAATGCTGAAAGCAATCAAGATTTTCTGCTAGAAATTCTAGACAGTTATACTGACGCATTCGCGACTGAACGAACAATGTAAAAACTGTTTCTACTTCAAAATAGTAATCAAAGAAGGCATAAAACAGGTAGAACCTCACAAAACACACCTCTCGATAACATCTTTGAATCGAGCGCTCTTATCATTAGTCAGAATTGATTTATGACTACTTGGAGGGGCATAGAAGTTTTATGTATGCTATTCCACTCCACAGGAATGATGGAAGTCATGTCATACGCGTTTCCGCGAAACACAGCACATCAAAGACTTTCAAACTCATTGCTTCTGAGGAAACAAGATTTTTTATGTGATTTTTTATGACTAGACCTTTCACTCCACTTCGCCAAAAGACCCATTCCTTGCCGTCACTAGCCACTACTGGAGTCATTACGCTATAAACTGCGGTTGTAATCTAGAAGAGCCTGTAAGATAAGTCATACAGCAATCGTGTAATGTGATGTGATGAACGTTTAAGATGACACGGCTTGTCCTTAAGTGGAAAAGGCATTCACTGATGGCGTTTCTGGCGTCTTTTTATTGGCAGGAGAGGACCATTACGATTTAACATACCAATCCAGCAGGTATCTAGAGGGAAGAGCAACAAAAAGATTCTACTGATGAAGGTGCGTGGCGTTAGCCATGCCCTCCGAAAGATGTTATGGCATGCTTCCCAAAATTTTTGCGGGCCCCCAACCCCGAAATTTTAGAAAAAGGGGCCTCTATAAAGCTAAAACTATTTTTTAAAAAATTAGAATTTTTTTTGATTATCTACAAGTATAAACAAGTCACTTGCACATTTTTATAACTCATGTAAGTAACTTTAAATTTCACAACACATCCCCGTAAAGTGCGCCCTTTTTCTACCGCCCCCTTCGGTAACTGCAATATAGAGAGGAAATCTTACATGAATGAAATAGTTTGGACAAGCATGGTCAAAACATATCGTAATTTATATGGGCCAAATGGACGCTGGCATCTCAAAACGAAGTATGCTACCGTGATCAGGTGCGTTTACATTACATGATTTGCCATCATAGGTTAAAGAGGTTGATACCAAGCGATCAGTTGAAGGAGTCCCATCTGTGCAAAATTTGGTATATTTGCCAATGAAATTTTTTGATTTTTTTTCACAAACGTGACCGTGGAGCTGCACAAGGAGGCTAGGATTTTCCAGATCAGAAATTGCGAAGACAAGTTGGTCACGAATTATGGGTATCTAACTTTATACGATCCTTAATATTCCTGTACCCATGAAGTCTTTTGCCGATTTTCACGTTACCTATCATTCTGAAGAGCGGGGTTCAACTTAGGTTACGGTATGGAGCGAATCACCGACCACTCTTCGCTACGATAGGATCGCGGTACGAATTATGGAGGGGTTTGAGCTTTAAGGGCCATATACTAGGTTCCAAAAGTTCTGTCCGATTTCTAGTTGCCTTATTTCAACGCAGCTAGTTTCTTAGAGTTTTGTACTTGTTGTAGAAATAACGGTATCATCTGAAAGTAATTTTCTTGCACTTTTTAATGCTCACTAATGCTTGACAAAAAATCTTCTCAGTGATGAAATTCCAAGCCCCGAATTCAAACTATCAAATGCTGTCATGCTCAAGAAAAACTTTCAGTGAAGAGAATTCCTGCAGTACTCGTGAAATTAATGTAATATTTTATAATGAATCAAGGTGTAATGTGCAACATGTGCACACTTTATCTCCAACAAAGCGAACGTCTTACTTTTTTAATTTTTATTCAAGGATGAATGACAAATTCAGTTATATAGAAAGTAACAACTATCTACGTATAGTGAACGGTGCAATACTAGATAATGCATACGATAGAGTAAGGCCCCGGTCAGATTTCACGCGACTTAATCGTCGCGATCTAATCGCCAAGATTTCCATTCATTTTCATTTCACATTTAAAAATTTCGGGCTGGAAAAGTATCACAACCGAATGCAAGTTGATCGGCATGGAATGATGTTGTAACAGTTGTCTCGTCGCGATTCAGTCGCGACGATCAAATCGCGTGAAGTCTGCCGGGGCCTAAAGCGAGAGCAAGCGGGGACTATCGGCAGTTAGCTTTCTTCATTCGCAACAGCAAGAAAAAATCAAGCTCGCCAAAATTTCTGTGCAGAAAAGATAGCTCGAATTTTTTTTAGACATGAAAGAATCTTTGAAGTATAGGCTACTTAATGCTGGCAGCCAAATATGTCAACTTATCCTTATATGGAAGCATTAGTACGTCAAAGTGGATGGTTTTGGAAAAA